TCAGTGATGGTGAAATAAAAGAGAACAACTGGAAAATCTATAAAATGAGATTAAAAACACCAAACAAAACCACAGAGATGAGGAGAACTCTTGAGATATGGTATGGTAATTCTCTGTAGAATAATTTACAGGATAATGATTAACACTAAATTGAAGTTATATTATCTACAACTAAAAATATTTATAATTGTTTGACATTTTCAAACAACTTCAACTTGAAGGTCAAGATGTATAATATTAAATTTAAATGTGCCGGACACTTTTAAATTGCCTATTTATCTCCAATACCAATTTAATACTAATTGATATGAATATGTGGAAACACTGTTCAAGACTCTAATATCAGGCAGACACTTTTTATTACCCTATTTACATATAACTGATGTTTTGTGAGCAAATGAAGAGGACATTGACAAAGACAGACAACTTTTTTATGACTTTTTGAAGTAGCCAAGGATGCTACTTCAATAAGAAGGTTTATGCAGGTATGGAATTGGAGGCAGGGGTGATAAGATTATAACATGATTACAGAAAAGCTCATGTCCTCTAACATTGACCCGGTAGCTTGAGGGTCCTGCACGGTATCAATGCTGTTTCTAGGTCTACTATTGTCTGGTCTGGACAGAGAAGATTTTCCTGTTTTTCCTAAAGAGCATTTAGTTGTAAATTCTTTGCTCTGACTGATCCTCTTTTTTCTATCAGCCCCATTTTTTTTCTGCGTGAGAAAATATGTCAAAAGCCTGTAGTATATGAGGAAACCATTTTATTTGAAAATTGTTTTTCTGTATTGTTTATCTCCACAAATATTTTTATATGTGTGAAATTATTGTCTGAATATAGCTCTAGTCAAAAATATATACATGAATCACACAATTTAACAATAAATCAAACCTACCCAGCACAGTGATGGCTGAAGACTCAGACTTTTGAGATCTCAGAGTTTTGTTGTTAAAGGCCTGGCAGCTGTAGTTTCCACTCTGACTCATCTGAACATTCATCAGTCTGAGCTCTGATCCAGTATCAGGCAGCTGATCTCCATTCAGAAACCAGTTAAACTGAGCAGGAGGTCTGGATCCAACTGAGCAGGTGAGGCTGATGTCTGACCCCACAGCAAAGTATCCTTGTG